AAGCCCGTGTGATTAGAACGACTCGGTCTATCGTTCTAACCTCTCACACTCGTTATTGTAATCATGATCATGAACGCACTTGTAATGTAAATAGCAAGGCACTAAATATCTCAAAAACAGTACACTTTAGGCATAGGAAATGTAAAGTCCGTCGATTTTAATCTGATACTCCAAAGGAATATGAGCTGGTGGCACCCTACATTAGAATGCCAGTGGTCACCTGACGGCACACCTGTTTTTGTCATAGACTGAAGACACAATGACATGACAAATACAAGGTACAAGTGACAAGAGACAAAAATATAATAACACGTGTATCAATGCTATAACCCAGAATAAATGGATACAGGATACAATTTACTTGCCACACTACGATACAAAATTTCGATTTTTTGGTATTTTGTATCTGTCACTCGTACTTTGTATTTGTCATTGTCCCCAGCCATATGCTTCATCGTCACGCTCCTCATACGAAAAGTGTCAGATTGAAAACGTCGGACAATATAGAAAAACTATTCAAAATTGTTCGTAAAATAGAAATTTTCAATTATTAATTATAAGGAGTAGGTACCATTAAAATTATTGCAGTAACATAACCTCAAAAGTAGATCGACCGAAACTCTCGATTGAACCGGAAGTGAAATTTTTGTGGTCCTAGGGCTCTTTAATGCTTCTGGGAGAAGTCAAAAATATCCTATTATTTTGAGCCTAACCTCAATTGTTTTCTGCCAAAACTAAAATAAAAATTTATTTTGATATTCTTAATAGCGACTTTTTCGAAAACTGTTGAAGTTCGGTATAGGATGTTGTACATGAAATAATGCTTGGAATTTCTTGTAGATTCCAAAAATTTCATAATATCAATTTGCAATAAAGGTTGAAGTCACTTCCGGTGAAACCGGAAACATCAGTTAATTATTGTTTTTATGCTGAAATTCTGCATCGATCGATTTAACCAATATATCCCCAAAATTGCAAATCGATTTTGATGCCTAAGATAGAGCTTGGTAAGAAATCTCGTGGTAACCTGGTATAGTGACGACAATGGTATTACGCAGACCTTTGGGGATTCATCTCGGTGCGCCATATTTTGGCAATAAACCTATGTGTGTCTTTGACCAAATCTCGATCGCCAACTTTGAAAAGCTTAGCGCGAATTCGCCCAACCCAGCAGCTTTAGAAATTCAAATTAAAATCATTAAATCTTTAAGGTTGTTTTAACGAATCTGCTGCTTCTTCTAGGAACTTAATTATTAGTTGTAGAACTCGTCAAAGTTTCGGTTGGTTCAATAATGTCGTTGTCCCTGACATTATCTTCAGTTGTGTGGGTATGATCAAAGTCGGCAAGATCCTTTCTTAATTGATGATGTCCTCGAGATGGTCTAATGTGGCTACTGTTTCTTCTTTAAATTTTTCCATTTTGCTTTTGTACTATTTTTATAAGACCTTTGAGTATCTAATTTTTTGGTAACTATTGCAGGTTGCCGAGTTTTGCCTTCCTGAATGACTACATTATCCTTTTTCTCCAAATTCTTTTCTTATTACTCCATTCCTGTCATAGTAATTTTTGTAGATGTCTCTATTTTCTTCCAACTTCTGTTTTTCTTCCTCCCAATCAATAGAAGTAGGAGTTGACAACTGTTTTGCAGAAGGCAGTTTAGCTCTCAATAGTCTACCTGTTAGTAGTTGGGCAGGAGATTTATCCAATCCTGTGACTGGAGTATTGCGATATTCAAGCAGAGCCGAATCTGAATCGTGACATTACCTTAACATGTTTTTGGCTATTACAACTGCCCTTTCAGCCAGTCCATTAGACTTGGGGTAATGAGGGCTAGATGTGATAAACTTGAAACACCAACTTCTCGCGAAATCTAAACATTCTTTTTTGAATTATATGGCATATTATCTGGATAAACCTCTGTGGGGATACCATGGTTTCAGAATACTTTTTTCATGGCCGCAATAATTGCTGCGCTTGAAGTGATTTTGACACTATAATTCCGGTTATTGTAAAAAGCTAATCCATCAAGTACATATACATATATCATTGCGTATCTGAAAATATGGTTGTGCTTCAAGGGCTTGATTGCAATAAAATATAATTTTTTGAATACAGGAATCTCGCTCTGATTCTTGCTGAAACTATGTTTTTTTTTCTTTTGTCACATTGATGGAGTGTATTACTTCAGTAATGAATTTATCATCTACTGTTGACTCAAGCAAATAATTTCTTGATAAAAGGTCTGCAATGTACATTGTACCTCGGCTACACTTTTTTGCATTAAAGCTTCTAATGGCTTGTGATCTGAATGTATTGTTACTCCTCTACCATAAATAAAATTGTAAAACTTTGTGCAGGACCACAAAATTGCTGTGAACTCTTTTTCAATTTGACTAAACCTTGACTCAGCATCAGTTAAAGCACGTGACGTATAGGCAACGGGTCTACTATTTTGCAGTAAACAGCAACCAAGCCCACTCTGACTACTGTCAGTCTGAATGTTTATTGGTTAAGCCTCATCAAAATTTGCCAAAACTTCAAAGCATCAGCCTTTAGTCCATACCCATACTATGTTCTCTTTAAGCAGCTCTTTAAGAGGTGCAGTTAAGGTCGACAATTTGGGAATGTAACTGCGGAGATAGTTAATCATACCCAAAATTTTTTGTAATTCTTTTTTATTTTTAGGCTCTTCAAGACCTATAATTTTCTGCTGATCTGGTTGCATTCCCTCATTTTTAAATATGTTTCCAAGATATTTTACATCATATAGGTATCCTGTATTGTAACTTAACACTATTGAATTTCACATTAAGTTGTCTAGCACGTTGCAAAACATCATTCAATGCCTTATCATGTGACTGGACAATCTCCAAAAATCAGCAAATCATCAAAATAAACTAAACAACCCTCTATATCACCAAAATTTCTATTATTTGATGTTTGAAAAACTTCTGGTGCACAATTTAGCCCGAACGGAAGCCTGTCAAATTTATATACACCAAAAACTGTGCCAAAAGCACATAGCTTGCTAGACTTTTCACTCAATTCCACTTGATAAAATCCCTCCTTAAAATCCAAAACAGTGAAATAATTTTGACCTTGAAGCTTTGAACGTATTTCATCTAGTGTGGGAATAATACAAAACTCTCGTTCTAATACTTCATTGAGATCCCTTGGATCCAAACACAATCTTAAACTTTTGTCATTTTTTTCTTATTACCACGTTGCTCAACCACTCTGTAGGCTCCTCAAATTTAGAAATGATGCTTCTCTTCTCTAAGCTGTCTAAATGAGCTTTCAATCTACTTCTATTGCCAATGGCAGGTTCAGCATTCTTATTTGATTTAAGTGTGCATTTTTGGTTAAATCTTAAGTTCATGCAACTTGACAGACCCAATATTGATTTTAAATTTCTCTCAACTACAACAAACATCATATTAAACTTTTTATTTTTAAAGAGGCAATCTATATTTATAGGCCCCAAAGGTGAAATTTTAAAACCGTGTCAATTTTGAAGTTAATCCACACTTGACCAATCTTCAGAGATTCAATTCACTTATTGCAGATTTTCACTTCATTCACTGTGATGCTTGCCACTAAAAGTTCATCTTCAGAGTAGTTATCATTATTTTTGTCATTTTCATTAGACTTCAATAGAACTTCTTTCACACTTACGTTTTTATTTCTACACATTTTCCTGAAATTGCCATATTTTTGGCAATTGGTGCATCTTTTACCAAATGCAGGACACTGTCGATGTGCATGAGTAAAACCACAACTGCGGCAATCGAATGCCTCCTTACCCTCGGTAACTTGTGTATTGTCCCGACTCTTTTGAAATGTTTTATATGGGCGAGAGTTGCTACTGTTTAAGGCATCAATTTTCACCTCAATGCTGGTACCATGGACTTCTTTTACCTGTGCAGTTGCTATCTCGTGTGCTCGACACACTTTAGTAACTTTCTCCAAGTCAAGCTTATCCATCTGAAACAATTTTTCTTGCAAAGCTTTGCTGCAAATTCCAAATATAATCCTGTCTCGGACCATTGAATCAGACTCATGATACTCACAACTTTTTACCAGCTTTCTCTAATTTGTTGCAAAATGATCAAAGGTTTCCCCCTATTCCTGTTTTCTATTGTGAAACACAAATCTTTCATGTATTACATTTTTCCTAGGTGTAAAATATCTTTCCAACTCTTCTAGGATAGTTTTATAGACCTTTTTCTGTTCATCTGTTAATTTCAAGATGTTGTATATCTCTATGCCTTCCTCATCAATAAGATTTAAAAGGGTATAGCTATCTTAACTTTGTCTTCCATATCATCCTTTCCACTTGCAACTAAATATATCTCCCAATGCTGTTTAAACCTCTTGAAGTTTTCTGAGAGGTTTCCCTCAAAGGACAAGGGCGGTGGCAGCTTTACGTCACTCATCATTATTTTTCTTCGGAAAATGTGATTATTAACGCACAAAGCTTTTTATCGATTTATTCAATTATCACAAGACTGCGCCATGCTGTATTACTTGATTGAGACACATAGGTTTTTGTTAATTATTATTATATTAATTATAAATGATTACAACCTCAGATTACAACAGTCTTTGACAACTGATTGACTTCTAAATATTAAAAATTGGTAATGTTCTATATATAGGCTATATCTATCATGTAGGGATGGGCGCCACAGTGACATTCCCATATGATAATTGCCATGTTTAGCTGGCTCCATCAGAATAGTAGGTACCTACCTACCTATGACCTGGGAACTTATCCACGGATGCAACATTCTCTAGCCAGTTCTTGACGAGTTTCTTCCTCATTTGGACTCGTCAGAAGAACATAGGCTTATGAGGTTCCTGTTCAAGCAATATCGAACAGTTCAACTATTTAATAATTTTTTTGTCTGAAAACTGTAAACTGACAGTAAAAACAATTATACGCTCCGTTTTTCTTTTATCAGGGTAGTTTTATAAAACCAATATTTCTATTCAACAGATATCATACCTGCTCACTGCAACGAAAAAGAATTTCAATGCAACAATCACAAATGCATAAAAATCGAATTTAAATGTGACGGTGACGACGATTGCGACGATTGGAGTGACGAAGATGACTGTCCTCGGAATATTGGTGATTGCGTTCCAGGGGAATTTAAGTAAGTACCTATCTACAATTATTTTGAGTATGGTTAATTACTATTTTTTCTTGAGGTGCAAAAATGGCGAATGCATTCCTAAAAGATGGGTCTGTGATAATCAAAAAGACTGTCCGACTGAAGAGGATGAGCTTAAGTGTGACTATGCTGTGAACAAAACGTGCAATCCTGATGAGTACACTTGTCCTGGAGGACAATGTATATTGGTAAGTGATAAATATTTCCATTTATAAATGTTCAATTGTAAATATGAAATGAGCATCATATTCAAAGATATAGTGAAAAATAAAACGTATTATCATGTCGACTTGTTAAATTCAATGTAGGATGTTCGATTTGTAGGTTGCGGCAGCAGTACTAGTTGCCCAATTTCCAAGACGTATAGATGAAGATGTGTTCATAAATTTTAGCGTTTGATTTTCAAGAGCCATTCCGAGCGACTTCCTTCTGAGAGTTTTTTTCGAATCATCATCATCAGCGAAATTCAATTTCGCGGCCGCCATACCTTACGTGCAAAATGTGTCTAATGCTTTTCAAATTCATACAGTTTTTCTGTAATTTTACATAAGTTTTTTATTTGCACAAAAAATAGTGTGTATACCATAACCGTGAAGCTTTTTATCGTCGAGATTATCTAGCCTCGGCCGCAAGGGGCTTTGGCGATAACTTTTCCCTACGTACGCTAAAAAGGCATTTCGCGGCCTTGGTATACAAATAACTATTAATTCACACTCTGGGTTGTAAAGTAAGTTACTTTAGACAATAAGTCGTGAAATTTTGGTATATTTTTTTTAAATTTATATTTTTATACCGTTGGTAGTAGATTTTTTTTTTATGCATCAGGTATGTAAAGAATCTTTTCCCACGAATGTGAAGTTTGACAATTAGGTACGTTTGTTGCATAAATTGCTATTTTGTAATTCGAATAATTTGTTTTCATGGAGGTAGTTTACTCTTTAGGGCAAATTGATGTTTCTTTATCTTCATTTGCCCATTATTAATTAGGAGGTTTGAAATCACATAGGATATCATTGATGATTCTTATAGAAAACCTGGGTATGTGACGGATTAGACGACTGTCCCAAAGGTGAAGACGAAGCCAAATGCGACATCGTCTGTGATGAAGCCAAATTTCCCTGCACAGGTTCTGCACAAAACGATTCGGCAACTGCTTTTTGTATTGGACGCAAGCACCGATGTGACGGACAAAAGGACTGTCCAAAAGGAGACGACGAATTGGACTGTCCAATAAAAAGAGACTGTGAACCGAATACAAAGTGCGAACAACGTTGTGTCACGTATTCTGGTGGCAGGAAGGGTTGTGGTTGTTATAATGGGTATAAACTAGACAAAGACGGTATCACGTAAGTAGATCTTTTACTAAACCTTCGACAAATTTATATTTGGTTCTTATAGATGCAACGACATCGATGAATGCCTGTATGCAACAGATCCAGTTTGCTCACAAAAATGCAATAATACTGTTGGTAGTTACAAATGTGGCTGTATGACCGGCTATATCCTCAGACCAGATCTCAGAACTTGTAAAGCAGTGGGTGCTCCACCTACTTTACTTTTTGCTAACAGAATTGACATTAGACAAGTATGTACCGATATTTTTGTACTCTTTTAGCTTCAATATAATTATTACTATTGCAGATGTCTCTAAGTAACTCAAAATATACTCTCTTACTAAAAGGTCTGCACAACGTGATATCTTTGGATTACCATTACAATAAACAGCTCATATTTTGGTCCGACGTATCCACTGATAAAATTAAAAGGGCTTCAGTTAATGGTAGCAGCATAACGAGTAAGTTTATACCTAGATACGACCATACTTTTTTCTACGAGTGTGCACAAATTAGCTACTTTGCGCACTCATTTGCGTAGGCAATTTTTTTTTCTCCACTGCTAGTTTTGCAAAATTTCTTGTCTCTACTTTGTAAACTAGAGTAGAAAAAATATTTTTCCTACGACCACATACGAAAATGACAAAATCCGCACTAGTTGGTTCTTTGGAAAGTGCTAAATATCACACGCGTGCTGAAAATACTTTCAATACGCGTGCTTAAAGTACTTTCCGTACAAACGTGTGGAAAATACTGTTGACATTATTTGTGATTGACATTTGACATGACAATGTACTTTCAATACGTGTATTGAAAGTACTTTCAGGACGTGTGTTGGAAATGGAAAAAAAAAATAAAATAAGAGAAAATTGGTGTAAATTGGTTTCTGGTCCTAGGAAAAATGGTGTACATCACTTGTGAGAAAGCGTCTTTCATACACTCGTGTGATTTTCGCACTCGGCTACCGCCTCGCGCGAAAAAACACTCGTGTGAAATTTGTCACTTTCTACACTAGTAATGTAATATACTATTTCCTAGCAAGTGCGCAATGTGCCTTTCCCGCCATTGATCCGAATATCGAAAGTATCACTTTGCGCATGTGTTAGGAAAATAACTATTATTCTGTTGACATCAGTTCGAGGTTCCACCTCACAAACGATACCAAGTTAAGTTTTGCGCTGTTTGTACCTACTTATCATTATTTTTATTGCAGCAATAATAAATTCTGGCTTAGAATCACCTGGCGGTATTGCAGTTGATTGGATTCACAATCTCCTATTCTGGACTGACTCTGGAACCAAAAGAGTGGAAGTAGCCAATCTTGATGGCACTCACCGTGCTATCATTGCAGCGAATGAACTAGATAAGCCGAGAGCTATTGTTGTTCATCCTGGGGAAGCCTTAGTGTTTTGGACTGATTGGGGCCCTAATCCCAAAATCGAAAGAGCAGAAATGGATGGTTCGAACCGCAAAAGTATTATTACTGAATCTGTTTTTTGGCCTAATGGAATAACCATTGATTATACTGTTAATCAACTATATTGGGCTGACGCAAAACATAACGTCATTGAGAGCTCACTGTTAGATGGCTCCAAAAGAAAGAAAGTCATCACCAAAGGTCTTCCACATCCATTTGCTATTACCATATTCGAAGATGCTCTTTTTTGGACAGACTGGCATACGAAATCCATAGCTACAGCCAATAAAGTAACTGGAGCTGGTTATAAGCCTCTACATTCTCAGCTTCATTTCCCAATGGATATCCACACTTACCATCCACAAAGACAACCGTCTTACAAGAATCGTTGCGGAAATGCACGCGCTGCATGTCAGCACTTGTGCTTACCTAATAGGAGGTCGTTTAGCTGCATGTGTCGTATGGGTCAGAGATTGAAATCCGATAAGAAAACCTGTCATAAGCCGGAGAAATTTATAATTTTTGCCAAGAAGAAGGACATACGAATAAAACATTTGGATGGTAAGATTCTAGAAACTAAATTGTGATTTTTGTTTGTAGATCGTAGAATAAGATACTTGTGAATCGTGATCAAGCAAATGAAAACTTTCATGTGAATATGATCATTTATAATCTGAAGTGTGTTCCTTTTGTTATTGTTGCAATGTTGCCCGTTCTGTTGTCTTTCGTCTTTTCTCCTCTCTGGGATTTAGCGTTCAAAAATCGAAATGGAAGTTCGCCTCCTGCGGCTTCGACTGTGAAGTGTTTTTTCACATCAGACAATCGAATCTTCTGCGTCAAGATGTGTGGTTTTCAGTATGCTCACGAAGTGTTTCGGATTTATTTCATAGGAGCTGTTTTGATTTTCTAAAATCAAATATTCAACCAGCAAACATAATAGTTGCATTTGATGGTATTCAGTAGGTATAGAGGCTCGTAGTCATAAGGAAATTGTAGCTTGAAAATGATTGAGGTTATCAGTGATCAAAATACTGCGTCAAAAATAAAAATAAAGGTGATGGAAGTCCAAAACTTATATCATTTATGAAAAGGATTTCCTTTTGATATGAGAATAATTTCTTGGTAATTTTTGACAATAAGGCCCTTTTGACCGAGGTTACCTTGCTGTCACTAGGTATATTCATAGTGCCCTGCTAGTGGTGACAACTGTGAAGGATGTTGTGTATAGAGTGTAGCCTCACACTCTGGATATAGGCATGGGTGTTGTGGTATGTGAGTAATACACCAGAAGAGGTTTTATACTGATTTATTGATTGAAATTGTTACAAATAAAATTGGATTTGTATACTTTCAGAAAAGATAACCTAGGGTCGTGAATTCAAAGAAAAATTAAGATAACGTGTAGCCCCTTTGTGTGCAAATGAAACCACTCAACATCCAACAAACAATAATTTTATTTTATTTTGTTTACAATGTTATGTGTAATTTCAATGTTAACAGCTTGGTTGTTCCTGGTGAATCTGATACCAAGTACCTGCTTTCCAATCCGGAGCTCTTCAATGGGTGTTGGGGTTTCACTTTCGTGAACTGGAGCTTTTCGTGTTGTTTCCTGTATCCAGGAAGAGGATAGATTGCTGGGGTGACGTCACTCCAGCTGATCCAGACTCCAAACAGTGATCTTTATGCAGAGTAGGTACCCAGAAAAGAATAAGGGAGTATCAGATTCACCAATATTTGGGATATTAAATCCCTGAATTCTGTCTAAAGAGTAAGCGTCTTGCAAAGAAAATTTAAATTGAAATTTAATATAAAATGATTCTTGTACAGACACTCCCCTCCAACAGAATCAGGTATGAACAGTTATTGCAAGTTGAGAAAAAAAAATATATATATATATATTTTAATATAAAAAAAAAAATTAGAATTAAGAAAAATTAAGATTAATGGTAAGATATTAAAAAAAATTAGAATAATAACAGGAATACATTATAATGATTATAATGCTCGTTATAATTGAGCAAAATGCTGCTTTCTTGATAACAGCTCTGGCCGGCAAAAATATAAGCAAAAATAAGGTAAGTAAAAAATTAAGAAATATCTCTGGATTCTCCCCAAGTAGACAAAATTCTCCCCTCGAATTAAGGTAGCTACCACAGATACTAGATAAACCTAGGGTTGAAATTAATCAAATCCAGAATGTGTCAAAATTCTTGAGATGTTTTAATTAAAACTTTTCAACTGAATTTTTGACCTGTTTGGATTTCTAGTAAAAAATTACACCCTTTTGTTGAGGTAACAATTTAGGGAGTCAAACAGAAAATGGCTGTTCAGGCATCTGCCTGGATTCAATAAAGATTTAATGGCGATAGGACTCACAAATTTGGTTCTCACCGACTCTATTTAGAGCAAATGGTCCAATTTTCCCACACTAAAAATTGATTCTGAAAGCCAGAGTAGCAGTACCTATCTAAAATCCAAAAAAATGTCTTGACTTACATCGTGGCACTAATCAATAAGCAATTCACACAAAATGGAAGCCAACAATTAGATAAAAAAACTTAAAATATAATATTTATATTTCAAAAACAGATAAGATAAGATTTATCAGGTAAAAACTTAATAAAGATACGATAATTTGAATATTGAAAAATCTATAGGGGAGGATCCAGAAATTCAAAGCACAAAATTAAATAAAAAATAAAGAGGACTTGCCTGGCCAGAGTGTTTTTCAAGAAGAGCTCGTTTTAGAAAACCAAGCTAGCAGGAAAACGATCCTGTGTTTTTTCATACTTACTGCATTCCAACCAGTTTTAACCAATCAGACGAGCACACCCAAAAGACCATATTCACTTCAAAATGAAAACACAATGAAAGACCGCATGGAATAAAACAGAATGGATAAAAATCCACTAAAACTATTTTAATTGTTTACAAATTATAATAATATAAATTAAGGTTATGTCAAAAATAAAAGACTGTAAATTAATTAGATCATTAAGCCAAAAAATTATTATTTCAGAATCAGAAGTTAGAAAAGGACAGAAATATATCCATTTGCTAGAAGTGAGATAATAGTTATTTGTGCAACCAGTTGGGAAAAGTACTATTTTTCGTAACGAACTGATTTCTGCGGAACGAGCGAAGCGAGTTCCGCAAAAGGAAGCGAGTTACGAAAAATAGTGTTTCACACAATATTTTTTCCAATTTTGACCTGATGTAATGCTTTTTAATTCAAGTTAATAGTTATTTATGTATCAAGGGTACTAAGTAGATGATTATGCCCTGAGGGCGACAGTCTTACAAAGCCGAGGGCCTCTGGCCCGAGGGTTCGTAAGTCGCCCGAGGGTATATATATCTATTAGTACCCGTGGTGCATACAAACTTTTATGTCATACCAGTTGGTTGTGCATAATAAATACCTGTGAAAAAAGTGCCATTTCGCAAATTGTCATCAGTGTGCAAACATCATAATTTTTTGACAAAAATAATATGTTTATCATTGAAATTTATATTTTGCTAATGAAGAATAAGTTAATTGAAAACTGTTTTTTGCGTCTTTATGCCCGCGCGGGCCATAATGTGTACTTTATGCCCGCACGGGCATAAAGTAATGAATTATGTAGATGGTATCTAAGGTATAAAAACACAATAATGTGTTGGTATGACATAAAAATATAAAAAACATTCTGCGATTAATTATGTCTAATTGTCAAGCGTCAGGTGCGTTCAGAGATGTTTATTCGTTATTTCGTTTTCCATTGCTACAGAAGCAATCAATGACAGCAATAGTGTCAAGCATAGAGGTGTCAAGTCTGCGTCTCTAGTTTTCGAAAACGTGAAAAATAATATCTAATATTGTTCTTATATAAGCCATTCAAACTTTATAGAGTAAAAGAATAATTAATATAAGATTCTAATGTCCAATTCAGGAAGCGACGGAACAAGTAACATTGAGGGATCCTAAGAAGTCAAACAGCAAATATGATTTGGCCCTGTGTCAAATGTTGTTCATGGTGTGAACAAATTAAATTTTCATGTATAGTGCGCTTTCTTTTATTCAGCAATGGATCCATCAATGACCAGTCTGTTGTCTAGTTCATAGAAAATCGGAATGGCTGTCTCATAATGCTGGCAGCAGGATGGATCCATCGCTGAATAAAAGAATTCGCTCATATCTACAAAGAATATAATAACAATACTTCAAGTATTTTAGCGTTGAAATTATCACAAATTTTATTTCTGTATTTTTCGCAACTAATGGTCAAATTAAATTTTCATCACCAGTTGCGAAAAATTTTACTTTTTCTACTGACGTTTTATAATACGCTTAAAATCTGTTTCATAATGAACTTCAATATGATACAGATTTTCATTATGATACAGATTTTTTAGCCACTGAAATCGAGTATTTCGAATATGAACAATGTTTATATAAAAATAACAGACTTGCTTTGGAATTTTGGATTGTCTCTATTAGTATTTACCAGAAGAAACAACAAAAAATTAATAATTCGGGTGCGGAATTTATGCCCAAATGACGTCTAGATCCTAATTTTTGAAATTGTCAAGTTGTCAACAATTGTCACCAGTTGAGAAGTTTACTATTCTTATAAAATAAATATGTTTTTCGTTTATTAATGCAAGTAGAAAAAATAGTGTATGCAACTCTCATGTAATGGGCATTAATAATAATGGCTATCATTACATGATCATTGCATAATATACTATTTCACAACTGGTGATGAAAAGTAAGACATTTGATAACGTCAACGAGTTTTGAAAAGTGTCACTTTAAATGACAAAATTAGAAAAATATAATTTCTTTCAATGAAAATATAAATAACTGTCAAATGTGAATTTTAAAAATCATACTTTGAAATATAGATCATCGGGCACTAGATGGCAGTACTGAAAAATCAATTCTCGATACTTGCATTTTACGCAAATATGGATAGATGGCAGCACTTGTATTATTTGAATTTGAATTTTGTAGATATTATTTGGTTGATTCTAAAATGAAAAAAATACGACTTTATAATGAAAATAAGAAGAAATGGAACATGTTACGTAAATGATAAATTTATCGTAACACGTTCGAATTATTTCTCCATATTCTTTTGCCTCCAATATCATGTCGATTGAACGTGAGGTCAGCAAGTACATCGTTTTTCTATTGGTCGATGTTTACGGCGATTTCTTCATTTGGTAGCGTTCTTGTCAGTTTGGGTAGAACAATATGTGGAATTTCCATTGAGAAACTGCTGGGGAATCTTGGCTTGACGTTTATTTCTACCATCCATTTTGCCACTTGTGGCTCTGCGCTTCCAAATCCGGATACGTCGGCTCTTATGCGCTGACGTGATATGGATAGTAATGAAGCAGTTTCTTCAGTTATGAATGTGGATGGAGAGCCTGGATCTATTAACACACGTAAATGTTCAACTATCCCTTGGTTAGTGTGGACTTTGAAGACTGCTGTTGCCAACAGGACCAATTCGGCGTGTCTCCCAAGGTGATTGGTTTTGGGGTTGCAGATTTGGTTGGCCGTTTCTGTTGTTTGGTTGCTGAAAGGTTCTGGCTCCGTTCTAGTTTCTCTGTTCGTTGAAGTCTACATGTACCATTCTATGGTGGAATTTCTTGCAGGTGTGATATACGACGGTTGAATTACATCTTATGTGCGCTGGGTGTCTCAGACAATTTATCCAGATCTTCTTTTCTGTGATCATTTCGTGTCCTTGCAAAGATTTGTTTTAATTTCGTGGGTTAGAGGACAGGACCAAAAAAGAAACTATCAAGCTTTTGGCCAAAAGCTTGATAGTTTCTTTTTTGGTCCTGTCCTCTAACCCACGAAATTAAAACAGATCTTCTTTTCCTTGATGACTTCAAATCTTGCAGAGTTAATGCTTGAAACTTCTGACAATTGTAGATGCTGTGGTTAGGCTCGTTGCAGTATCCGCAGCTTTCAGTTGTGATGTGGGTTTGCTCGCTGGACTTTTTTTTACCTTGTACACAGGCTTCAAGGGATTGAAATCTTGTTTGCAGAAACTTGAGTACTTCGTCTAGCTGATTCATTTTGTTTGGCTCTCGCAAGGATTGCTCGAATAATCGATTTGTTTCGGAATTCCATTTGCGGCACATCTTCAGATTAGTGGTCCCCAAGATTTGGTGTCTTCCTTCATTTTGTTGAGCGCTTCTACACATTCTATCATTGTGTCATGCAGTTGCTTTAGCTTGTACGCTGATTCATAAGTGATTGATGGTGTTTTCAAGATCTTATCAATCAGCTTGTTGATGATTAGTCTCTCGTTGTAGTATCTTCTCTCGAGAATGTTCCAGCTTGCAATGTAGTTGTCACTGTTTATCTGTAGATGTTGAATGACCCTACTGGCTTCACCTTTTACGTGGGTCTTTTCGCGAAAATGTCCCTGAAAGTGGACCATTCTTCATATAATCCATCGAACATTGGCAGTTTCACTTGAGGCAGCGATATGTTGTTTGACCTTGGCTGTTGGATAATGACAGTGATGCCGGTGTGGCTGGATGATTGCTTGTAGATTCATTTGGTTGTAGCTGTAGCAGTATCTGCCCTTATTGTTTTTCAAGTGCCTTGTATGCGAGTTTGTACGGTTTATGGACCGATTGGATTTCGAGTTGTAGGTATAGGTCCGAAATCTGCTTGAATTTCTCAGTTATCTTGCATTGGAGCTGCTGACGGCGCTTGATTGGGGTGTGATCATCCATTTCTGCAAGAGTGTCGTTTAGGACTTCTTCCATCTGGTTTAGCAGTGCTGTTAGTTTTGATGTCATCTCGTTTTGTTTTGTTTGGGCTTGGACTTTTTTTATACCGTCTTCTATGTAGTCCACTGTGTCATATAGACCTCCTTGAGTTGTTCAATGTAGTTGGCGGGGTGGTAATTGTGGGTGGGGCAACACAATTCGTTGATCTTCTTGTGGTTCTCATGGATTGTGGTCGATAATGATTCCACCTATTTGGTTTTTCCCTCGAAGTATTGGATTGTTTTTCGGCTTGATGAATCTTTCTTCATATTTGTCAGTATAGGTTGCATGTCTCGTCCGTGTTGTTGCTGTTCCAGCGCAAGGCGGTCCATTTTTTCGCCCACGGTGGACATTGCGCTGATGTTGCGTGGAGTTGTTTATATTACGAACTTCTGTATCTATTGTGGGCTGTCACCTGGTGCACTTGTTTCGTGGAAACGGTTGTATCGATGTACTGATGGTGACGGATTGTCTGCTTGTTAGAGTTGAGATTTGAGGCTGAAGGTGAGACTTGAGGCTGGAGTTGAAGTTTAGTTGTTTTTGGACGGCGGTGACTGATGCACTTGACCAATTAGTTGACTCGATCCACTATCGATAAGGATTTGCCGGCTCGCTGTGAATTGGAGATGAAGTTGGATTGACGTTGAAGTTCTTTTGAAGTTGAGGATGGACGGCGGTGGCTGGTGCACGTGATCCGTCGGTGTGTCCTTGATTGGGCTGTTGTTGTCGGTGACTGATTGAACCGCTTGCTGGTAATTTCACTGTAACTCCCTTTTTTCAAGGAAGTATTCCTTTTATTCTGTTCAACTTTTTGCTCGAAGGACCATGAAAAGGATTCCCTTTTGATAGGGGAATCACTTCTTAGTAATTTTTGACAATAAGGCCTGTCACTAGGTATATTCACAGTGCCCTGCTAGAGGTGACAGCTATGAAGGGTGTTGTGTATAGAGTGCAGCCTCACACTCTGGATATAAGCTTGAGTGTTGTGGTATGTGAGTAATACACCAGAAGAGGTTTTATACTGATTTATTAATTGAAATGATCCGCAATTTATACATAAAGTTATTGTTAAATATAATACGTAATTTAGAACTATGTGACGATTCTGCAGTTTGTTAACCCGATGAATTTGTGCTTTTTATCCACCAGGAGTTGTTTGTATAAGAATTATTGCGTCGATCAAGATTGCTGCAATTTTCAAACTTTCTAGTTAATTAATAAAAATAATGTAAAATTGTTTGTATAAAAATGGTTGCGTCACTGCGGGACAATAATTCCAAACTGGCCCATTTTGTTAATTTTAAAATAAATTCTTTATATTGTTTTATGGCCAATTTTGGCTGCTTTCAAGATTAGACAGTAATGTTTACTCGTCTGGGCAAGTCCGAGTACCTATTTCAGTTTTACCATTTCCAGGATCTACCGAAAAACAATACGAAATGGTAATTCCTGTGGATGGAGTGAAAAATGCAGTTGCAGTAGCTTGGGATTCTAAAAGCAGTTTCATCTATTGGACAGACATAGGAATGAAATCGATCAATAGGGCTTACTGGAACGGTAGCGATCACGAGACTGTCGTCAAAACCAATATGGGTAAGATAGTAGCTTAACCTCATTAAAGTTGGGAAAATAAAATATTTACTCATAAACGTAGTTGCTCCACACGGTCTTGCTTATGATTGGTTGACAGACAAACTCTATTGGACAGACATGGAAAAATCTAGAATAGAAGTATCCAATTCAGACGGATCAGTTAGATCTTTACTTATATGGGAAAATTTAGATAAGCCTGGCGATATAACAATTGACCCACAAAGTAAGTGATATATTTAAATCCATGATTCTAAGATCATCAATTAATTACTATTTTTAGGTGGAATAATGTTCTGGACTGACGTGGGTGTTAAAAAAAGGATAGAGAAAGCCAACATGGATGGTTCTAATAGAGCAATCTTAGTTTCTACTAATATTTCCTCTCCAAGTGGTCTCACCATTGATCATTCAACTGGAAAACTTTACTGGACTGATGGTGTTCAAAAGAGCATCAATTTGATTAATGTAGATGGAACTGGGAGAAAAACACTTTTATGTAATATAGATTTATGCTAAATATATATAAGAAAATAAAGATTTACATTTTGGTTCTAGCTGGCATAAGTCTCCCTTATCCTTACGGCATAGACGTGTTCGAAAACGATATCTACTGGTCCGATTGGATGAAAAAATGCATAGAAAAAGCCAATAAATTAACAGGAGAAAATAGAACGACTGTAGTTAGGAACATTCCTGACGCAATGGGTATCAAAGTGTTTCATAGGAGCAGGAAAATTACTAGAACGCCTTGTAGCAACAACAATGGCGGCTGCTCGCACTTGTGTTTGCTGAAACCTAAAGGACATTCTTGCGCTTGTCCAACTGGAATCAAGCTTATGGTATGTACAGTCGTTTCACTTCGATTTCAAATGTAAAAAAATAATTTCAGGATGATCGAAAAACTTGCACGGATGGTCCATTGAACTATCTCATTCTTGCTCACCGCATGGATATACGACAAATCTCTCTGGATGTGCCATATATGGCTGATGTGGTACTACCTTTTAAGCATCTTAAAATGGCAACATCTGTAGACGTGGATCGTAAAACAGGGGAGATTTACTGGACTGATACTTCAGAGGCCTGCATTCAAAAAGCGACTGTGAATGGAACTAATAGGCAAACTATTATTACGCATGAAATTGACGCACCAGATGGGATTGCTATCGATTCGACGGGAAGAAAGGTGGAACTGTTATCCGCGCCTTAACAGAATAGTTTAAAACTTTCATTATTTTCCAGATTTATTGGACTGATGGTGAAAGAAATAGCATCGAAGTGTCTGAGCTAGATGGTTCGAATCGCAAAGTACTGTTTAACCACGACATCTATAATCCACGAGCAATAACCTTACACTATCACCACGGTTTAATGTTTTGGTCGGATTGGGGTTCCGAGAACCCAAAAATCGAAGTAGCGAATATGGACGGTACAGAACGACGAACATTAATCAGTGCAAATATCACATGGCCCAATGGACTGGCAATTGATAGACCCGCTGGACGTTTATATTGGAACGATGGTAAACGGAATACCATAGAGTCGTGTGATTTGGATGGCAAAAATCGCAGATTGATTTTAAGCAAAGTTCCACATCCCTACGGTTTGGTGGTTGTCGGGAATCATATTTATTGGACCGATTGGAAGACGGAAGCTCTACATCGAGCTGACAAGGTAAATTACGATAACGTTTCAATAATATAACATATTAAATGCATATTTCTGTAGGAGACTGGTGAAGATCGTGTTATAATAAGAGGAGACTTAGAAGGACTTATGGATGTTAGATCGGTGCAATATGACAACATTGCCGAAAATGCTTGTGGAAATAATAATGGCGGTTGCAGTCACTTGTGCCTAAGAAATCCTAAGGGGCATACATGTGCTTGTCCAACAGGTAAATAGAAAACAGAAATAACAACAATTTCATAAATTATATTTTAGGCTTGAGAAAATCCTCAGACAATCCTAAACATTGCCAACCAATAAGCGAAACATTCCTATTAACCGCAGCCAGATATTCTCTGAGCCAAATCAGTTTGGATACCATGGACGCTTGGGATGTTACTTTACCAATAAAAGATGATGTGCAAAACGTCATAGCTGTGGATTATCATTATCGAAAAAAGTTGATATTTTACGCCGATATCGGTAGAAATGTCATCATGAGTGTGAGTATGAATAATTTATCGGATGTCAAAACGATTGTGAATAAAAATTTAACTTCGCCTGATGGTATCGCTGTTGATTGGTTAGCTGAGAATATTTATTGGACGAATACTGGAAATAAAGTGATTGAAGTAGCTAGGTATAAAAAATTTTGAAGCCTATTTCAGTATATACTGATCCTTTATTTTTCATATTAGATTGGATGGATCCCATAGAAAAACAGTAGTCAGCAATCTATTTGATCCAAGATCCCTGGCATGCAATCCAATCAGTGGCTATATTTATTGGACTGAATGGGATCAACACAGTCCAAGAATCGAACGCAGTCACTTGGATGGCAGTAACAAGAAAATAATAGTGAACCAAGATTTGTCATTTCCTATCGGCTTAGTTATTGACTATTCCAACAAAAGGCTGTATTGGATCGACGCGAAACTGAATGAAGAACGCATTGAAACTTCAGATTATCACGGACAAAATCGAGTCACTTTACCCATTGATAAGACGCATCCATTTTCATTGACTCAGGTAGGTGACTATTCATGGGTCTATGAGTTGTTTTTTAACGATTTTCTTTTAGTATAAAGAATGGATTTTCTGGACCGATTGGGACCAGAAATGTATCATGCGCTCTGAAAAAATAACGGGAAACGGTAAAATGATGATAAGACCATTGCACGCAGCAATGGGTATCACTATGGTAGCGGCTGAAAGACAAATGTCTTGGAATCCATGTATGATGAACAATGGAAACTGCACACATCTATGCTTTTTCAGGAAGAAAGGATATACTTGCGGGTGTCCTGATGAACATACACCTGGTTGCAAAACTGGTAAAGATTTATTTTCTCTAGAGAAGACCAATTTTAATAATTAAATAAATTCAATAGCACCAGATATTCGAGTATCAAACGTGTGTCCTGAAGGCAAAGGATTCGATTGCCCAGAATCAGAGGAAAAAGATTACGTAGATGAAGATTATTTAGAAGCAATAAATAAAGCTGAATACACCCCACCTCCGGACACTCCTGTGTTTGATAAAACTTCAGCATTTTACGTTATAACCTTGGTAAGTACTAGTATTCACCCGTATTTTTAGTTTCAATGGCATAAATAGTAGATACTGAATCTAAGTTTATTCTTTTAGTTACCTATTCTATATAGTAGCTAGGTAGGTACTCGAAAATAACTCGCTTAATATCATTATAAACTGTATAACAAAAACCTCAATTATTAGGAAAAGTGCCCAAAAGTAAATTGATAAGAAGACACACACAAATAGTTACTATAACTTCAATCAATTATTGGATATTTTTTTGGCGATTTCAGGTACCCATGATCGGAATAGTTATAGCCAGCGTGGCAGTAGTAGCGTACATTTTAATAAAGAAAGGGAAAAAGACCTACATGTACGGTGCCAGCAGAAGCTTTTCGAATCCCAACTATTACTCCAACGATCCAAACGGACCACAACATGCGGCTGACAGAAGGCAATTTATATGGAAACGATTGAAATATGACAAGTCACAGGTAAGGCAATTCAAGGATTTTATTATTTTTTTTTCAAGAAATTATGGTTATTTTTTTTTTTTCTGCTTTCTTGTCAGAAACCACCACTGTGGTTTGTCGACAAAGCCTCCAACATCACACACAAACCAAATCAAACAAACAAACAAACATCCATGCACCTAGCCGGGATTCGAACCCGAGACCCACTGCATGCAAAGCGAAAACACAACCGCTGAGCTGCTTGGGTGTGCTGGTTAAAAATAAAATAGTATACAAACCTCGACGGGAAACTTCATTGCTGTCTCGAGGTTCAGTTTATCTCGACGCTACGCGCCTCGATAAACTATATAACCTCTCGATCAGCAATGAAGCATTTCCCGTCTCGGATTGTAATATTCTATTATTATAAAGGGTATTTTAATGAAACTAAGTACCAAATTTTGCTACATTCTCCCGCATTTTTCCCAGACACCCTCTATTATAGCTCTTATTTTCTGTTATATTTTTTTCTTCAGATCATCATAGATGACTGAATTGGGGAACCTATAATAGGGATCTCCGAAGTAACAAACCAATAAGTAGGTAATAACACAAAAAAATTACTAGTTTAAAAACTGAGTACCTAATTTTGGATGTGGTTTCTTCCAAAACTTTCAACACTTTCTACTATGGGCTGTCTCTAACCAGTTCCTTCCTGGTATCTCCCGATGTAGTCTCGCCATTTTTTCAATACTGTTTTAAATATGTGTTTGGAAAATGTTTCCTGTTTTTCGGAAACAAAAACTTGGATAACTTTGAAGAAACAGAGACACTAACTTTTTCAAGTAGGAATTTTAATATTTGTAAGATTTTATTTACTTTGGCTAATAGGTTCTGTTTCTTTTTTTGTATTCTCTTTCATTTGTACCATTTATATTCATCAAGCATTGTTTTAGGTTTTTTTGGAATAGTGCTTATTAGAATCCGGTATTTGCAAGTCTCAATTCTAGAGTTCTCGTGAAATCTTCAGATCCGTTTTCCTTCTTGTATGGACCTATTACTGCCTTTGTAAAATAAGTTTCTCCGTAATTGCCCATCCTAGTTTAGTTTTTTGTCTATTTTATCCTATGGTAGCTGGCTTTGTTGTTTCGGGGTACTCGTAATAGTTTTTTTTTTTTTTTTTTGTCGATGAATAAGCCTGGAGTGCAATTATTGAGTGTACGCTCCAGGAGACTATAGTTCTCTGGATGGTATTTTCTGCTTGATCCTGATGGTTTAGGATAGAAGAGCAGAAGGGCCTTAGTACCAGACTAGAGCACTTGTTGTAAGTTGGAAAAAGGACCCAAGCCAGACAAAGCACTTGCTATAAGGGTTAAATTAAACCTGTAACCAGACAAAGCACTTGCTACAGGTTTAAAGAAGGGCCTACTGTAACCAGACAGAGCACCTGCTACAATAAGGCTAAAGAAAAGTAATTGTTAGAGCGCAGTCTCACGACTCTACTAGCGTTGCTAGGCCAATGGTGACTTGGGCACAATTTAAGTAAGAGAAACAACAATAAGTTTGAATCTGATTTTATTAATGAAATTGATCACCTTTTATATACAATAAATGCTGATTTTGCACACATCGATTGTCGTCATTTGCAATAATAAAAGTGGGTTGCTCATAATTAATTAATTCTAATATTTACAGTATGGTAAAAATATAAGATTAAATGTTCCAATTTGGATAAATGGACACTGAGAGATGCAATTATTCTATTTGAGAAAGGCTAAAAATTGAGGTGATTTGAAGTATTCATCCACAAATACTTGGACCTTCAAATGTTTCAATCCCATCTCCACGGTACTTGATATATTGAGTTTAGGTCGATGCATTGCTCTCCCTTTGACTCTAAACCAGAACCTACGTTCTTCAGTTTTTTTCTACTTAATACCCTTTTTTTTACTTCAGTGTGTATCTTGAATTGCAGATGGATGGGTACAGTTGATTATCTTTTTCATCTACTTTTTATTGATTATTATGAGTAATTACTCATACAGTGAGTTTTTTTTTCATTACTCAATTATTTTCAGCCAATATATATATCTAATGTCATAATTAAACTATGTAAGAACCACTCAGAAACCTCGGCAAGTTAACAATAGATGGTCCAGGAGGCAGTGTAATTTTTTAGTACTTATCTTCCTATAGGATTTTCACGCTATATTTAGGATGACGTCACATTTAGTAAATTTCTGCTGCAAATCTAACAAAACTAAAAGTACTTCTTAACGCATTTAAAGTAGGGGAATTTCAGATGTTTCTGGTTGGCACCGGCGCGCGATGTTGCATGATTTAAATGAAAATTTTCAAATAAATAACGCGTGTCGATACATTTCGTTATTTTTAGCTGTCAGTGGTCTTGATAATTCATTATGACATTCTGGTAAATTATAAGAAAACAAATACGAATTGACAACATTGTCAGTCCTTGTTCTCTGACGTCATCCTAAATATAACGTAAAAAACCTAAAAAAAAAATATAGTTGGTGTATTTAAATAGTTTGTTCTCTTGGTGACACAGAACAAGAATTTTTGAGTCTGGCTAAAATTTTCAGATAGGTTCACAAAATAAATGAAAAATCGAAGTAAAACCATTTTCCCAGTCATAAATATTTCACATTTACTGAAATAGAACATAAAGTATATGAAAATAGCAGTCTAGCTTATCTCAGATAGCGGAAAGTGAGTCTGGCTGAAAATTTTCGCATCTTCAATTTTTCACTTGCCGGACTATTATTTCACGTAGATTCTAGATTTGTAGATTTGTTTGAATGGAGATGGCGCAGAGGCGTTCTCTACCACTTCAACCTTATCAGATTTATTGTGGTATCTCCTATCTGTCCTTAGAGTGCGTTCTCTAGACCCGTCCTTTTTATTAGACTCCAAATCCATGATACTGGCCCTCCCATGTAGGTGGCCGGATTGGGCTTTTCCTCTCCAAGCCTCGCAAACCTAAGCCTGCATAGCGCTTTAAAATGGCACCATACATGTACTGCAGTTTCTTCCGCCTCCTAACAGAACCTACACAGGCTATCCTCTGCCAGAGATTCATTCTTTCCAGGTGCTTGTTGAGTTTACAATGCCCTGTTAATTGGCCTACCGTTATCCTAACAATCTTGCGGCTGTGGCTTAGTAGGTCCGCTGTGAACTTGGGCGAGCAGGATTTGATAAACTGCTTTGCCTGTCGTTGTCCTGGTGTTCACTGCCACCAGCTCTGGAACTCTCTGTCTATCCAGTTCTTAATAGATGTTTTAAAATTGCCTGCAGAAATTCCGCAGAATGGTTCTGGGCCTATCATCTCAGTGGCCGAGCCTCCTTTGGCTAAGTCATCAGCCTTTTTATTTTCTGGGTGGCCCTCGTGGCCTGGTACCCAGGCTATGGTAAGTTTGTTGGACAGGCCCACCTCCTTTAGGGCATGTACACAGTCCCTAACCAGCTTGGAGCTGTTGGAGCTGATCTTTTGGGAGCTGATTGCCTTAAGGGCCGCCTGGCTGTCCGAGTAAATAACGATGTTTTTACTCCCAACTTTCCTTTCATTTATCAGTATGGCACAGTGCATTATTGCAGCGATTTCCGCCTGAAACACCGTGGCGTAGTGTCCGAGACTTATGGATATTTCCACCCTAGGTTTGTCCCCGTAGATGCCGACTCCGACCGCCTTTCTGGTCTTGGAGCCGTCGGTGTACCAGATGTGGTCTGCTTTAACACGTTGAGTAAATCCAACATGGATACACGTGTATCCAACATGGATACATACGGCACAATGTTTCAGGGGCCACATGTATCCACTGCCCATACAAACTGGTTTTTTCATTTCTGGCCGTGTGTATCCCCGTTAGATGTAGGCTTTGCACATATTCTTATGGGAGCTTTTATATAGTGGCCTGGGGTACCCCAAAAACGGTTTGGCCTGCGGATATTTTTTCTGTTTTTTTTTTTACAGAGGGATTTATAAATGAGGACATATAAAAATTGGTTTATTTAGAAAAATACTATATTGCACACACATACTGGGGAATAAAAACCTATACACGTATTTTTTATAATTTCAACCTATAAAACCCATTTATTTATGCATTGTTGCCAAATGCCAATGATGCGCCATGTATCTGCGTTGGATACATGCGGGGGGTATATTACGTATAATATCCAAAAAATTATAAACTGGCCACGTGTATCCACCGTGGATACATTTTCAAAACCATGTTTTTTCGAGCATCTAAAGTTTTTTTACATAATTTTTGTTGCATTTTACTTCAAAACAATATTTTTTTAGCCAATGCGGGAAAAAAAAAAACGTAGCCATAGGACCCTAGTTTTTTGTTACCATTGTGGCACTCAAAGTGTTTTGGAGGACCTTTCTCCCAGTCTTTCCTCTCTGGTATGGCAACCCGGAAGTGCCTATTGAAGATGAAAATAGGTTTTGTTTTGTCTGAGGGCATCCCGAACAATGAGTTGGCCTCTGGAGTCCTGTATTTTCCAGCTCATGAGCCTTTGGTGTTTTATAATTGGACCCTGGCCTTGCTTCAGTCTGTATAGTACCGCCTTTACTCCACCCTGTATGTAGATATGTAGTGGCAGCAGGTTTAGCAGCACCTCCAAGGCTGCGGTTGGGGCTGTTTTCATGGCACCCGTGATGCAAACGCAGGCCAGCCTTTGCACACTTTGAAGCTGTCTGATTGCTACGGTCTGTGTGACCTTTGTACCCCAGGCAACCGAACCGTAGGTTAACATTGTTCCTATCATCATTTTGTATAACCATAGATTCATCTTTGGATTAGGTCCCCAGCTTTTTCCACATAGCTTTCTGCATCTCCCCAGGGAAATTATGGCCTTCTGGACAACTTTATTGAGGTGTGGAACCCAGGTCATCTTTTGGTCAAAAATAACTCCTAGATATTTGACCTCTTTTGAGAAGGGGATTTCCGCTCCATTGAGCATGGAAGTCCTCTTAGTACTCTTTTCTTTGTGAACGGGACAATTACGGTTTTTTG